GGTCCAGTGATTAAGAACCTGCCTGCCAAAGCAGGGGATACAGGTTTGACCTCTGGTCTGAGATGATTCCACATGGGCAGAGTAACTAAGCCCATGCCCCACAACTTCTGAAGCCTGAGTGTCCTAGAGCCTGTGCTCCATAGAGCCCATGCTCCACAACAAGAGAAGTCACCACAATGAGAAGACCACGCACCACAGATAGAGTAACCCCCATTCACTGCAACTAGAGAAAGCCCGTGTGCAGCAATGAAGACACAGAACAACCAAAAATAAATGAATTAAAAATAAATACTTTATAAAAAAGAAAATATCGATTATATATTGAAATGATAACATTTAAAAATATTGGGTTAAATAAAATATATTGTTAATTTCACTTGCTATTTTTTAATGTGGCTACTAGAAAAATTAAGTTACACATATGGCACAAATGTGTAACACAAATGTGGTTAACATATTTTTATTGGATCATCCTATAATCCCATAGGAATAATGTCTGATACCTAGAAAGTTTTCAGTAAATACTGGCTAAATGCATTAAAGTTGGCTGCCTGAGAAGGGTCTTTAGACTAAGAATTGGCAGACCCTGTTTTCTCCAAGCAAATTGTACATTTAGGCAAGAACCTGAGTACGTGGACAGGGCTTAACAGTGAGGAAAATGATGGAAATGTGTGAGGCTGTTGATTTGCTTGAGATTGCTGTCTTTTTCTCCAGCTGTATTTATACTCTACTTTAGTGAATAAATAACACTTAAGCCGGGTTGGCCTAAATGTTTATTTCTTTGAGAGCACCATTTATGAAACATAAGCACTTGTTTTATGGTCTGTTTTGGGAGGCAGATCCATATGATTTTTTTTTCCCATGTGATTCTTCAAATACTGCTACTGCTCACACAACTTGCAACTTTGGAATTGGACTAATTCATTGGCTGCTAAGTTGTTACCTCCCATTTAGAAATTGCTTCCCAAATATATTTTGTCTCAATTTGGGGAATAAGGACATCAAAGGAATTAAAGGGCTTGATAAATTGTATAATAGCCTTGTGCTCTTTAAAGTAGTTCTTCAAAAAGTTGCATAGATCTCTTTGATTTTCTGCAATGAACAACTGACTCCCTCCTTTCTCCCATTAAATGGTGCTTGGGAATTCCCTGACAGTTCAGTATAAGGACTCTCCATTCCCACTGCTAAGAGCCTGGGTTTGATCCCTGGCTGGGGAAGAAGTCATATGGTGGTGCAGCCAAAAAAAAAAAAAAAAAAAGTCAGCAGCTATCTTGACATTCCAGGTCCTTTAAGTGAATTTGAAGCACTTGTAAGCAATTCTAGTGCTCAGTTCCTGGGATAGCTGAAAAAATTTTTATTTCAGGTGGGTAACTTAAAAAAGAATACACAACAGTTTGCACTGGAGTATATGGATGTTGATTTCCAAATATATAATACCTTTTAAATATTAAATACTGATTTAGTAAAGTGTCCATAAAACATGCATTGTGAAATGTCCCTGATCCTATATGACCCAGATATGCAGGGACTACATCAGTTCCTCTCTGAGGTGTTGGGGAGGCATAGTTGGTTGCACACTGAGCTGCACTGTGGCTTGTTGAGTCAGTGCTTCTGAAGACAGAGTAAACAACACCCTGTCCAGACAGTGGGGTTAATATGGAGCAAGATCAATGGTCCTTCCCAGTTATAATATTTAGCTCTTCCAGGTTAAAGAAGTCATTGTTCAAAAACTAAAAATAAACTACTTAAGATTAACCATAGAAATGATTTCTGTAGTTGGGAGAAAAATTAGGAAAGAAGGTAATGTTCTCTGGTGATACTATAATGGTTTCAAAGTAAAGGTATTTAAAGCTCTTACACCAAGAAAAGAATAGTCTTGGAAAACAGAGAAGTGAAGACAAAGGAAAGATTCTGCAGTTTGCAGGACTTTTTGCTTTGCTGTAAGTGAACACTGTGTACCTAACAGGCACAATGAGAAGTAATGTTGTCTGACACATCTTTCAGATTTTAAATCTCAGACACAGTGCATGTAGCAAATCCTATAATTTCTAGTGTTTTCACCTTTCAAAATTCAACAACAAAAATAAGGAGAAGCTTAAATTAGGATTTCCAAGAGTTAAGAATACCCTCTCGGGGGATGGAAAGTTCTATCTGGGGGTCTGTGGTAACTGCTGGTATAGACAAGGCAGAGTTAGGATGAAATCCTTTATTCAGAACATGCATTTCCAGTGTACTGTTTATTACTTTGACTCTCTCATCATACTTTCTCATTAGAGGATCATCTCAGCAACCAATATATAAAAGGACACAAATTTTTAGTGATGTAAAGCCTATATTATTGAGCACCACTCCTGGAAGATAAGCATATCTTACCTGCAGCAAAGGCATCAGCTGCAAACCCAGTGCTTGCTCATAGAGCAAGTTCAGCTCTGCACAACTGGAGAAGGAGAGTTTGGAGGTGTAGAGGTAATAGTGCACATGCCTGAATGTGGAACCATCTCTGTCGATGAACAACCTCTGGTTTTCAGAGGTCAGTGCTGAAGCCTCTTTCCATAGCAGGGAGTCTGGGAACTGAGCGAGTTTGCTTCTGGGAACTGAGAAATGCCAGCCCCCCACATTGAAATGAAACAAATCCTCTGCTGACTCATGAGGCATACCAGGCTCCTCCTAAAGGGAAAATGAAGAGATCTATGCAATAAAATGAAATAAAAAGCACCCATATTGGAAAGGAAGAAGTAAAATTATCTCTATTTGTAGATGATGTGATCTTGCAATAGAAAATCCTGAGGAATTCACTAGGAAATTACTAGAAATAAGTTCAAGAAGGTTGAAGGGTGCATATCAATATAAAAAATCAACTGTATTTTTATATGCTAGCAATGAACAATACAAAAATGAAATTAAGAAAACAATTCCACTCACAACAGTATAAAAATGAACAAAGTATTTAAGAATAAATTTAACAAAAGAAGTATAATACTTGTACTCTGAAAACCCCAAAACATTGTTGAAAGATAATTTAAAATACCTAAATAAATGGAAAATCTTTCTACGTTCATGGATCAGAAGACAATATTGTTATGGTAGCAATACTCTTGGAATTGATTCCTATGAAACACAATTCCTATGAAAATTCCAACTGATTTTTTTTTCTTTTGCAAAAATTGACAAGCTGATGTTAAAATTCATACCCTACTATTGGCCAACAGAGGAAGAATGATTTTCTCCTTGCCTGGGACAGCTCAACCAATGAGACACTGTCACAACTCAGCCAATGAAAAGTCACTAAACTTCAAACTCCCAGGTTCCTCCAGTGTATTTTTGTTTTTATTACAGCCCTTCCCAACTTCCCCTTCTCCTCTACAAAAGTTTCCTCTCTTCCACTTTACCAGACTTGCATGTGGTTCACCATAATTGCATGTCCTGAGTTGCAGTTCTTTACTGTTCCCAAATAAACCTGTTTTACTGGTTAAAAACAAAACCCAATTGTTTCAGGTTAACAAATTCTAGGTAAAAATTATGCATGCTGAAGTGATTGGGGTGCAATGTACCAATATTTCTAATTTATTTTTAAATGTATCAAAAGATAAGATGAATGGATAGAGGATGAGTGATTAAACAACTACAGCGAAATGTTCATTGTAGAATCTAGGTGGTGGCTATATAGTTTCACTGTAAAATTCTTTCAAACTTTCTAAATGTTTCAAAATCTGCATTAAAATGCTGGGAGGTGGGGGAGATTGTTAAGGTGGTTGCTCAAGGGAGGAAAAGTCCACTTCTCCGACAAAAACCTGCCATCTCCAATTTTGACATCTGGGTAAAGAAAATAAATGCATGCAATGAAGAAGGGAGTGAGGTTCTTTTCTCTCATAAGAAGCCTGGTTTAAATGTTCAGATATAAAGAACAATTATACATGTCATGTTTGAGGCTAGAAGAATTAAAGGGGACATGAGAGAAGGATTACAAATTGTAAAATGGTGACAATACTCTCAGAAGCAGAGGTGGAAAAACCAATCTAATAAGCTAATCTAAACTTTTAAGTCATGACCTTTCTAAACATGGCTAAGGCTGAATATGACAAGCTGAGAGTAAGGACCCCACCTAGACCAGAAAGCATAAATATACACACAAACACGATTTTGCTTTCTATTCTCCTTAAAGGTGATGAGCTGGCCCTACAGGCGCTTGTAGTTCTTGAAAGACAAAAGGCTTCTTGTCAGATTGACTGCAGGAAACAGAGTAGCCTGTAGTCATCACTACTCCGTCCCAAAGAGTGTCTCTCTCTTCCCCACACTGATCCCTCACCCCTAAAGAAGATCAATCAGTTGATCCCGCTTCCAAATCAATTTCTAGAACTAGAACTACCTCATGATCTACAGACAGGACCTCAACTCCTCAGAGCCAGGATTTCGTATCTGGAGCTTCCCATCATGCCTCAGAGAGCTGCCCTCCAACCCAATCTTTCAGATCCCCCACCCGCCATTACGTTCACCCACCAGGCCACCGCCTTGCCTCAAAGTCAACGTTCCCCAAGAACTGAGATTGAAGACCTTTACCCCGTCCGAGGCACAGCCTCACCTTTCAGACCTGGAGTCCCACACCCCATTCTCAGAGTTAGAACACTTCAACCGTCAAAGCAGGCACATTCTTCTGACTCCTCAGAACTAGCCCCCAGACCCTTCAAAGCTGGGTTTATATCCGCCCTGTGTCCCAGAGTCAGGTCCCTAACCCTACAGCCCTAATCCTCGACCACATCGCACCCATTCGCTGTTTTAACGCTTTTGGCGCCCCCGCCAGGGCGGGCTCCATACCATGGTCCAGGCTCCAGAAGCGGGTGGACAGGCACGTGACCAGGACAATAACGGACCTCAGGAGTGCGGCGGCGCGCGGGGCGGGGCGGGGCCTGGCGGCGCTGGGCGGGGCTTGGCGCGCGGCCGGCGGTCTCGCGGGCCGCGACAGGTGAGCGACGCCGCGGGGCAGGCGGGCAGGGATGGCGGAGCAGTGGGAGCTGGACGAGGAGGGCATCCGCCGCCTGGGGGCGCTGACCATGGAGCAGCCCGGTAGGGCCCTGCTGGCAGGGTCTGGGTCGGGAGCACGGGGTTCGAAGCTGAGGGGAGCAAACTGAGGGCGAGGCAGAGGAACCTGAGGTAGTCACGGGGGAACGGCGGCGGAGGAGCGGTCTCTGAGGTAGAGGAGCGCTCCCTGAGGTAGAGGGGGCCCCCCTAAGTTAGAGGAGCGGTCCCTGAGGCGGAGGAGGGGTTACGCTGAGGTAGCGGTGAAGGAACTGCAGTTACCGGGGAATCTGGGGCAGAGGGCGAGAAATTGAGGGAGGGGAGCGGAGTCTAGAAGAGAGGAGAAACGAGGTTAAGCGGACTCTGAGGCCAGGAACAGAAAATTGGACAAAGTGGAAGGAAACTGAGCCCCAAGAGGGGCTACTAATGGGAGAAGGGAAGCGCTATGAGAAGTACGTTTGAAGTTGGGGTGCTGTTGGAGGAGACAAGAAAGGTTGATTTTGGCAGTTCTGGAAACTTCCACCCCGACTTGCTTGTTTAGGGTGAAATAGGAAAGGATGTTCCTTGATCAGCCAGCCCTCTCTTCGTCCAGTCTTCTCGTCTAGAACTTGGCCATTTCCTTGATCCATCTGTATGTGTCGCCTCATGAGACTCAGAAAGGGGCCTGAGGTAAAAGGAATAGTAGCTGATATTAGATTGCTTCGTCTTAGAGGTGAACCTGGCGGAGTGACTGCTGACCCCACCTTTGACCTGGGGTTTGATTCACGCAGCTTGCTTTTCTAAGTTTTTATGGAGTAGAAATGTGTTAAAGTTATCAGTGTTCCTGATTCAATTTTGTTCCTTTTCTTTCTTTCTTTCTTTTTTTTTTTTACAGTTGAGTAAAATTAGGTTTAGACTCATGCCCCGAGTCAAACAGCCCTAAGTAATGCAGCGATGGTTTATTAACCTAGACTTTGATTCCAGAGCCTGTCCTCTAACCACAACAAAATGTTGCCTTTCTTGCTTTCTCTAGTACTTTTTATTGGGGGAATATGCAATAATTTGGTTTTATTTTATTTAAATTTATTTAAAATGTATCAAAATTAGTATATGATGGTAACAAACACTACATGATGGTTTGGTGTGCGTATCAATAGGTTGATGTAGATAGTTCAGGTTTTTCTTTTCCAAACCACTTTGTGCTCCCCTAATTTGTAAAGCTTCATTGGCTTGACATACTGGTGTACTTTTCTTTCTTTCTTCCTCTCCTTTGTTTTAAAGAATTTATTCAATTTGATTGGGGGGGGCACATATGCCTTCCATTATCCAGCTAGAATAATATGTGGCAGGATTTTTTTTTTTTTTGGCTTCTTTGCTTGTTTTTATTATATGTGAATAACAAAATTAATTTTACTCATTCTGACAATTCAAACAATACAAAAGTATCTAAAGTAAAAAAAATTCTTCCCTCTCCCTCCTTCTATAACTTTTCCATTGCTTTTACAAACATATTCCTTTTATTCTTAAGGGATAGAGCATATATATCAATATGATTTGGCATGATTTTGCTTTTTTACTACCAATAAAGCATAGATATCTTTCTTCTTTCTTTCTTTTGGCTGCCACTTGGCTTGTGCGATATTAGTTCTCCAACCAGGGAATAAATCCAGGCCTGGGGCTGTGAGAACATGGAGTCCTAACCAGTGGACCGCCAGGGAAGTCCCATAAATGGTGTTGAAAGCCATGGGGCTGGATAATGTAGATAGATAATAGAAGGTTTAAGACTCAGCCCTAGGGTATTTCAATGTTTAAAGCTTAAAGAGAGGAGAAGGAGAGTGATGTTTTGGAATTTACTAAAGGGTACTGTGTCAAGTAATTCCCTGGTGGCTCAGTCAGTAAAGGACCCGCCTGCAACGCAGGAGACTGCGTGCAGCACAGGAGACCCAGGTTTGATCCCTGGGTCTGGAAGATCCCCTGGAGAAGAAAATGGCAATCCACTCCAGTATTCTTGCCTGGAAAATCCCATGGACAGAGGAGCCTGGTGGGCTACAGTCCATGGGGTAGCAAGACTTAGCAACTAAACCACCAGAGGAGTCTGTGGGCTGCAGTCTATGGGATCACAACAGTTGGGACAGGACTTAGCGACTAAACCACAACCACTGTATCAAGGAGGGAGTGGTCAGAAGTGTCAAATGCTATTGACAGGCTGAGCAACCTAATGCAGAGAAGTGTCTGTTAGATTTGGCAACATGGAACTCATTGGTAACTAACTAGGGAAGAGTAGGGAGGAAGCAAGCCAGGTCAGGTTGGGATAAAAAGGGATTAATATGTGACGGAAAAGAAATAGAGAAGATAAGAACCTTTGCCAAGAAATTTGGCTATAAATGAGAATGCATAAGTGGAATATTAGCTAGAGGATATGAAGTGGAATTAAGAACAAGTTTTTAAAGACATGATATACTAGAGCATATTTGCAGGCTAATGATAATTACTAGGAAGAAAGATAAAATATGCAATTATATACTTTTTGGTTCCTAAAAATAATTCCATTAATTAACTTATTATATGGGTACTATAATAACTACTATGAAAAGTAAGTCTTGAGCCCCTACCCCCCTCCTTGGCCCCACCCAGTTTTCCTTCCTAACAGTGATCACTGTTACTAATATTTTGGATAGCTCTCTCTACATATTCTCTACATATATGAGCATTTGTACTTACTTTATAATTTTTTATTATGGCAATTCATAAATATATCCAAGAGTAGAGATGACAGAATAGTGAACTGCCATCAACCTAATATCAATAGTTATCATCAGTTCATGGCCAATCTTCTTTCATCTATACCCTGCCTATCATCTATCTACCCTCAGTCCCCTGAAATTTTTTTTTACTGTGTTGAGTCTTTGATGCTGCTTGTGGGCTTTCTGTAGTTGCAGAAATTGTAGGTTACTCTTTATTTGTGATGCAAGGGCTCCTGATTGTGGTGGCTTCTCTTGTTGCAGAGCATGGGCTCTAGGAGCACAGGCTTCAGTATTTGTGGCACATGGGTTTAGTTGCCACGAGGCGTGTGGGCTCTTCCAGGAGCAGGGATGGAATCTGTGTCCCATGCATTGGCAGGTGGATTCTCAACCACTAGACCACCAGGAGAGTTCTGTGCACTGTCTAGTTTGAAACAAGTCCTAGTCATATGACTTAACCCATGAATATTTTAGTATTTGTCTTCAAAAGATTACAACTCTTTTAAAAGTCACATATAAAACCTAAAAATATTTTACAGTAATTTTTTTAAAATAACATTTTATTTTTTACTCTGCTGGATCTTCGTTGCTGTGCGCTGGGTTTTTCTAGTTGCAGTGAGCAGGGGCAACTCTCCAGTTGCAGTGCATGAGCTTCTCATTATGGTGGCTTCTTTTGTTGTGAAGCTTGGGGTCTAGGTGAGTGGGCTTCACTAGTTGTAGCATTGTTTTCTTAATATAATTATAAACTTATGGATTTAAATATTTTGGTGTGTTCCAGTCCCTTGCAGTTATTATAATTGATGCTGAGTTTGTCCAGAATTTAGTAGTGGGAGATCTTTCATGTAGATTTAGATTCCTGAGGCCTTTTTTATTTGTTTTATTTATTTGAAACTCTTTCATCATTATTATAAATAAGCTTTAATTCAGTTTCTAAGTGAACTATATAAATGGTTTTCTATAAAGGGATTACTTGTCATTATCAATAAAACATGTTTTTGCCCACTGGAGTTATTATAGCCTATGGAGTAAAATTGGAAGATCATTCTGTTATTCTTGACATCTATAACGTGCAATGTTTGATTTGCTCTACAGTCTATTTGTCTTCACTCTATAACTGATGAAACTGAGTGCATAATCTCTTAAGACCTGTGTGTGTTAGTCACTAAGTCATGTCTGACCCTTTGTGACCCCATGGAATGTAGCCTACCAGGTTCCTCTGTCCTTGGAATTCTCCAGGCAAGAAAACTGGAGTGGGTAGCCATTCCCTTCTCCAGGGAATCTTCCTGACCCAGGGACAGAACCGAGGTCTCCTGAATTGCAGTTGGATTCTTTACCATCTGAGCCACCAGGAAAACCTAAGACCTGTACTTCATGTAAATCATCAAAGAACATCTGTCCCAGTGGCAGTTTATCATTTGATTGATAATCCTAGTTCCCTTTAAAAATGCTAAAATGTCTGCTTTTTAAAATAGAATACAGTGAAAGGCATGTGAAATGCAGCAGGGCAGTGAATGAAATCATAACTGACCTTAGCTTTTGCCCCATGGTAACAAGATTCTCAGTATATTTGGTCATTGCATACTACAGAGCTACCAATATAGTGCTCTCAAAGTTGGGATTTTTTTTCTTGAGATATAATTCACATCCTATAAAATTTAAAGTATGCATTTCAGTATCACTTAGTGCATTGTATAACCATCACCACTGTCTAGTTCCAGAGCCTAAAAGGAGACCTCATATTCTTTAGACAGTCAGTCCTTATTTCCAACTCCTGGCAATAAGTGGTCCCAAGCAACTACAAATCTGCTATCTGTCTCCATGGATTTGTTTGTTCTAGATATTTCATATAAATGGAATCATACAATATGTGGCCTTTTGTGTCTGGCTTCTTTCACTGAGCATGCTTTTATTAAGGTTCATCCATATTTTAGCAAAGTGTACTTGATTCCTTTTAAAAATTATTTATTATTAATAGACTTTAATTCTTAAAGCAGTTTTAGGTTTACAGAAAAATTGAGCAGAAAGTACAAGAGTTCCCATAACTCTTCCTTCATCACACTTTCTCTATATCCCCTTCCAGTTTTCCTATTATTAGTATCTTGCATTCACGCAGTACATTTGTTATGGTTGTTGAACCAATGATAATACATTATTACTAACTAAGATCTGTAGTTTACATTAGGATTCACTCTTTGTGTTGTACAGTTCTGTGTGTTTTGACAAATATATAGTCATGTGTATGCCATTACAGTATCAACAGAACAATTTCACTGCCCAAAGAGTCCTCAGTGTTCCACCTGTTCATCCCTCCCCCACCAGTGAACCTCTGGAAACTACTGACCTTTATCCTGTTGCCTTTTTCAGAATGTCATGTAATCATATAATCATACAGTATATAATCCCTGGGAGCCAATGATTCTTTAAAAATTAAAAAAATTCTTTTCATTGATGTACAATTGATATATAATATTAACTTAGTTTCAGGTGTACACCATAATGGTTGATGTTTGTATACATTGCAAAATGGTCACACCAATAAATCTATGTAACATTTATCATTTTACATAGTAGCAAAATTTTTTTTCTTAGAATGACAACTTTTAAGATCCAGTCTTAGCAACTTTCAAATATGCATTGCTGTATTAGTAACTAGTCATCATTACTGTATATCACTGATATTTTTAGTGTTACCTTTTTCAGAATATTATGCAGAATGTTTTCAACCTGATTTCTTTCATTTAGTGATGGGGAAACAGTGAAAACAGTGTCAGACTTTATTTTTTTGGGCTCCAAAATCAGTGCAGATGGTGATTGCAGTCATGAAATTAAAAGACATTTACTCCTTGGAAGGAAAGTTATGACCAACCTGGATAGCACATTTAAAAGCAGAGACATTACTTTGCCAACAAAGGTTCATCTAGTCAAGGCTATGGTTTTTCCAGTAGTCTT